TGTATCTATGGAAATACTCCAATTGTGCATAGGGGTGTATGTGTGTATGATTCTGTGGCCCAGGGAAGCCTGTGAAAAGGAAGGATCTTGGGGTCTATGGGTGATAAGGAGCAGAGACTAAGGCCTAAAGTATGCTGGGGCTCGAGTCCCCTGGACTTTAGCCCCTGTGAGCTGGCAGGTCTTAGACTAGTCCTGGACTAGAATCCTATGGGTTCCCTTCCCCCAGAGGGTCATGGGGCCAGCCATCTGCTGAAGACAAGACAAACATGCATGCAAATCACATGAAAATGGATGAGGCCTGTGGCTGACCCACCCCACAGTCCCCATCTCCTGGGCCTGAGTTCACTCAGCCTGTGCCCTTCCTGACCCAGAGCTGCTGCCAGGGCTCTGGGAACAGGCCTTGCCCACCAGGAGCTGAAATCCACATTGTCCCCAGTACCTGCCCGTGGCCACATCCTCTCTCTGTGAGGGCTACTCCCACATCTGGAGCTATAGCCAGTGGACACAGAGCTGGACCTGGACTGGTGGCCATGGGCAGCACCTCTGGCAGGTGTGAATTTGAGCATACACATGTGTCGCATACTTGTACACACATTCCCACGTGAAAGCATGCACATGCTATTCCTGGACACTTGTGTACACACACCACTGCACACATATACCTGCATGTGTGCATATACACTCACTTCTGCACACAGACACATGCCTATCTGCATACATGCACACATGCCAACCCCTGTAGATATACAGACATATCTGTGTACACACATACAAGTTCAGCTATACCACTGCAGTATCACACACCCTCACAAAGACACAAACCTGTGCTCACACCCTCTTCCACCCTCACACACATCATGTTTACAAGCCTGTGTACAGTCTTACACACATGCACACATGCACAGAGCGGCCTAAGGGTGGCTCACCCCTGCCCAGGTGAACACCCGTGTCCTCTCCAGGGCTGGAGTGTTGAGGAAAGGGTTTGTCTGGATGGAGGCAGAACCTGCAGAGATGTTAGTTTGTTCCAGGAAGCATCTTGGATTGTCCCTTCACAGAGCCCTTGGAAGTGGGGACCTCTTTTAGTCCATGGGCTATAGCCCAGGTCAAAGAGAGAGCAAGTCACACGCAGCCTCTCCTGAGGGTCCTCCAATACCAGGATCTAGTCCTTGCCCATATATTTGGGCCTGGTGCCTGGGTAGGCCTGTCTGCTCAGGAGAGGTACCTTCTGCCCAGGGAGGCCTGCCTGGATACTGCCTCCTCCACCTCAGCTTCCTGAGCACTAAAAGAGAAGCAGGCCAAGCTTCGCGGCTGCTGTGAGAAGTCTGAGGTCAGAGAGGGCCAAAGCCTTGCCTGAGGTCACCCAGCATGTCAGGGAAGGGCTCGGGTTTGAACCTGGGCTTCCAGTGGGGGCGTGTAACCATGGTCCATGGCAACAGGATAGATGCATGTCAGGCAGCAGACAGGCCCTTGGAAGCAGGCATGTCGTTGTGGGGGATAGGAAAAGACTCACCGTATGTGGAGTGTCTGCCGGGACCACGTGTGGGAGATGGAGAGACGGTGCTTCTTCACCAGAGCTCACTGGGCATCACGGGGCTCCCAGCTTGGCTGGAACATGGGGACTCAGGGAAGAATCAGACATGCACTGCTCTTGAGGGAGGGCTGGGGGATAGGTGAAGGACGAAGAGGGCATTATAGACTGGGGAGACAGTGGGGGCTACTTCTCGTTGGATGACAGTTTTCTTCCTGCATCTTGAATCTAACTTTCAAATTTCTTTCCCCTCAAAACTTAGCATGGAGTACATTCTCAGTAAATATTTATGGCATGAATGAATGAAAGTATGATATTGGCAGGCAGATATGCCTTTGGAAGGGTATTCAAAATGGGAGGGCAACAGGTTGGGCAAAGGCAAGGAGGTGGAAGAAAAGTTAAGTTAGAGGTTCAGGGTGGTTCAGGGCACAGCTGAGTCAGGCATGGCTGGACAGGAAGTGGTAGGAGAAGCAGCAGGAAAAAAGTCACATGAGGATGAGCCTTGCATGTTATACTGGGTTTGGATGTTGCCTTGGAGCCCAGTGAAGATTATGAGCAGAGGGTGAACATGGTCAGAGTGAACCTGCCCTGGTTTGAGAAGGGGGGGTGTGCTAGGCTACATAGTAGCTGCTCATCTTTGGTGCAAAGAGCACTGGGTTTGGAATCTATAGGCCTGGGTTCACATTCCTATAGTTACCAGCTGTGCCATCTCAAGTAAGCATCTACATTTATCTGAGCCTCAATTTCCTTGTTTGTAAAATGGGGCTAATGCTGTGCCTCCTGAGGCTGTTGGATGGGGCCTGGGTGAGGAAATGCTTTGCCAGCACAAGTCCCTACCAATGAGAGGTGTAATTTTTATTAGGAACAAGGCAGGGCTGGTTCCTGGACAGGGCCTGAGGTTGAGTGGGCCCAGGACCTAGGCTGACAGCTGAGTCACCTTTTCCAGGCCAAGTGGCCTCTAAGGTGGGGAGACAAAAGAGTTGGCTAGAGGGGCTGGGCTAGGCATTCCTGAGCTGAAGCTGGGAGGAAAGCTGGGGCTGGGGCTGAGCTTCCTGGTGTCTGAGATGGGCAGAGGGTACAGACACCAGGATAGTAGGACCCTCAGCCACTGCATTCTTGGGGACAAAAGAGGAGCTGGGAAATCTGATTTCCTTACCTGCTTTTGCTCAAGAAGCAAGGAATGTATTTAAGGTACAGACTGGAGTGAGATGGCCTGGATTTGAATTTCAACTACTTACTAGCTATGTGACTGTGGGCAAGTTACTTTGTGCCTCAGTTTTCCTTACCTGTGAAATGTGACTAATAATAGATCCCACCTTATATCATTGTTGAGAAGATGACATGTGAGGCACACAGTATGTGCTCAATGCATGTGAAAGCCTCCCAGCCCCAGATGTACACACCGGCCTGTAGGGGTCAGCTCTGGCCCTCAGCTCCATGGGACAGTGGTCACCCTGGGAGGAGAATTATCTACTCCAGGGTTCTCTGACCTGGCAGCAAATTAGAATCACCTGGGGACATTTGCAGACATCTGGGATGGGGGTTCCAGATGTCAGCATTTAAAATGTTCCCAGGCAATTCTAACATGAGTCAGGGTGAGAACCCAGCACAGGATCACAGATTGTGGAGTTGGAGTGAGGTAGGGATCTCTGTGTGAGTAGAGGAGTCCTTGGAACGGGGTCACTCCTAGCTATAAGAGTTCGGCAAGGCCTTTAAATGTGCCAACTTCAAGGAGCCTTGGTTGCCCCTCAGGGAGGGCGCTGGTTGGGGAATTTCAGGGATTGTGTGAGAGGGTTTTTCTGAAAGGGCTCTGCACTCTACCAAGCACTGAAAGAAAGCAGTGCACTTGTTTATTGAATCTAGTGTAATAACATTTCACAGATGGGGAAACAGAGGCCTAGAGAGGTGCTGTGGCCTGCTCAGCATCCCACAGCAAGTCTATGGCACAGTTAGGACTCAAACCCTCTGAGGAATGCTTGGATCTGAAAGGTTGACACAGAAAGACTCTTTGAGCCGAGGGACAGATAGAACACACACCAGGGACCCCAGTCATTGAGCTGTAGTTTGAGAGATTCAAGTAAGACTTAAGAAATAACTTCTTGGCTAGGCGCAGTGGCTCACGCCTGTAATCCCAGCACTTTGGGAGGCTGAGGCGGGCGGATCATGAGGTCAAGAGATTGTGACCATCCTGGCCAACATGGCGAAATCCCGTCTCTACCAAAAATATAAAAATTAGCTGGGCGCCGGGCGCAGTGGCTCACGCCTGTAATCCCAGCACTTTGGGAGGCCGAGGCAGGCCGATCACGAGGTCAGTAGTTGAGACCATCCTAGTTAACATGGTGAAACCCCGTCTCTACTAAAAAATACAAAAAATTAGCCGGGTGTGGCAGCATGTGCCTGTAGTCCCAGCTACTCAGGAGGCTGAGGCAGGAGAATGGCGTGAACCCGGGAGGCGGAGCTTGCAGTGAGCCAAGATCGCGCCGTTGCACTCCAGTCTGGGCAACAGAGCAAGACTCCGTCTAAATAAATAAATAAATAATAAAAATAAATAAATAAATAAAAAGTAGCTGGGCATGATGGCGCACGCCTGTAGTCCCATCTACTCAGGAGGCTGAGGCGGGAGAATCGCTTGAACGCAGGAGGCGGAGGTTGCAGCGAGCTGAGATCAAGCCACTGCACCCCAGCCTGGTGACAGAGAGAGACTCTGTCTCAAAAAAATAAAAATAAAATAAAATAAAATAACTTCTCAAGAGGTGAGTGCCATGGAGGTGGTGCCTGGAGTTGGGAGCCCAAGAGATGGTGGCAGTGCCAGGCCAGGGTCGGCTGTTGACCGTGGTCTGAGGTGGCCTCCCCTGAAGAACAAGTAACTCTGGCCAGTGGCTGTAACAGATACCTCCTGGGCACCTGTGTCTCACCCAGGCTTGTCCAGAGCCCAGGACCAAGCCAGTGACACATGCTCAGAATTTACCAAGAGAATTGTGCACCGAGCTCAGACTCAGACCTAGTCCTTCCAGCAGCCCTTACATGGGCCATCCCCTTTTACATAAGAGAAAACTGAGGCCAAAAACAGGAAGGGAGGCCTGGTCGGGGCCAGAACCTTTACACACCTTAGCCCAAGTAATCTTTTCTACACTGTTAATAAGCAGGATAAATTGCCCCTGTTTCAAAGATTCAATAAAATACATTGACTTGGCCCAGATCGCTTACTCTACACCTCTCCTAAGTCCCCAGATGTGACTCCCAGGAAAGACACAAAAAAGGGCTACCCAGAAGGATAAGGTAGTATCCACGGAAGCCCTCCCAGAGGAGGTGGGCCTTCAAATGGCCCCTAAATGACAGGCAGGAGGGAAGGATCTGGGAGGGTATTGGGGGTGGGGTGGCATGGGCAAAGGCCTGGAGGTGAGAGTCAGTCATTGATGTGAGAAGAGCAAGAAGTAGAAATGTAAGGAATCGTGGGGAGGGGAGTCAGAGCTGGATGAACAAGTGAGGGTTCAGCTGTAGAGGGTCTGGCCCGCCAGGCTGAGGGCCCAGGCTTTATTGTGCTGGGGGTAGGGAGACACTGAGGGTGAATAGGGGAGAGCATGTCAGAGCATGCCTCAGAAAGGTGGGAGAAATGCTGGCATGGAGGGCCGCCCCCTGAGTTGGTGGGGTGGCCGGGCTCTGCCAAGGCTATGTGCAAGCTGCCTGGACTGTGTCCAAGAATGGGCACAGTGACTCAACATTGAGAAAATCACTCCCCAGGGAGAAAGGGCCCCGATGAATCACCCAACTGAGGTGGGGAGGCTGGGAGGCCAGGAGGCTGGGGGCTCACTGAGTCACCCTCCAAGAGTTGGTGAGGAGGGGAGCTGCAGAGAGAGAGGCCGGCAGTGCAGTTGGGGGCGGAGATTCAGGTCAGACCACAGTGAGGGCTGTCGGGGGACTCTGCCTTCCCAGCATTCCCGGGTTTGATCCTCCTGGCCGTCCTGTGAGGGAGATGAGAAAACTGAGGCCCAGGAAGTGGGGGGAGGGGATCCGACCAAGGTCATGCGGCAAGTCGCTGGCAAAGGCCTAGCGAGACCCAAGCGCACCCTACAGTCCAGACCCTTCCCGCCGCCCCAGCCGCTTTCATGCCAAGCAGAGGCCTAAGAACCGGGTCGGTCCGGTCAGGGAGATGACCCCGGTGACCCACTGAACCCCCGGACGCGGCCCCTCCGGGCAGCCGGCAACTGAGGCCGGGCTGCGCCGCCGCGATGGGACGGCAGGGGGCGCAGGAGCGTTGCGGCTGCCGCAGGCGCCTGAACCCAGAAGCCGCTCTGCGGAGAAACGCGCTCCCGGCGCTCAGGTCCCACCGCGGAACTGCGGACCGTGTGGCACTGGGGCCTGCACCCTCTCCGGCTCCGGGGACGGCAAAACGGACCTGCCGGCTCAGGCCTGAGGGCCCAGTCAGTCGCGGCCGCCGTGTGTGCGCTCGGTGTCTGTGCGCACGTGTCTCCCTCGCAGATGGGCGACTGCTCCAGGGCCTGTCCGTCTCGGAGCGGCCTCCAACATTCTCCCGACATCCCCCTGCCTCCTAGATTGAGGGAGAGGAGTAAGCCCGAGGCTCCTGCGGTGTCCGCGGCCCCTGCCCCCCTTTTCCTTCTCCTTCCCTCCCTACCCCACCCCACTGCGCCCGTCTCTGCCTGGGGCTCTGGCTGGGCCCCGGGCCCCAAAGTAGTGGCGGGGAAACAGGGTGCGATCAGACAGGGTGGAGGCTCTGAGAGCGGCCCTTGCGAGATGCGAGAGAAGTGGCGACCGGGCGAGGGGCAGCGAGCGCAGGCTGACAGCAGGCCAGCTGGAAGGGCCGAGGGAACCCAGGGCGAGAGAGAAGCGCGGTGACAGAGGCCGGGGGTCCGGTGGGGTCAGAGGATCCGACGGGCAGAGAGGTGCGGTCCGCGGTAGCGGGGACATAGGCGGGGCCGGGGAGGGCCGGGGGCGGGCGGGGGGCGGGCCGGGGCGGGGCCGGGGCGGACACTCGGGCGGACCAGGCGAAGCTGTCGCGGACGCGCTGACCGAGCGCAGCGGCCGGGCCGGCGGGCGGGCGGGCGGGCGGGCGGGCGGCTGCGAGCATGGTCCTGGTGCTGCACCACATCCTCATCGCTGTTGTCCAATTCCTCAGGCGGGGCCAGCAGGTCTTCCTCAAGCCGGACGAGCCGCCGCCGCCGCCGCCGCAGCCATGCGCCGACAGCCTGCAGGTAGGGGGGCCCCGCGCTGGGCACCAGGAGAACGGGGTGTCCGGCGAGCGCCGGGCCGGGTCCGCCCACCCCTAAGCCCCCGAACCCTTCTCAGGGAGGAGACCCCTCCTCTAGTTCTGAATTCTACTCCTGTGCTGGGACGGCAGCGCAGACCAAGAGCCCTTGAAGCCCCGGCTCTCAGTCCAAACGTCACCCCAGACTCTGAACTCCTTTCGGATCCGGGGCTCCACCCCAAGCACTGAGCTTCCAGTCCACGGTGGGACTGCAGTGCACACTGAGAGCTCTGCCCAAGCCTCGAATTTCGTTTCCTTAGATTAGTGGGGACCCCTGCCCACACCTCGGAACCTTCATCATATATGTGGGACTCCCGGCACACCTGGACCACCTGAACCCTCAGCTATCCTACAGGACCCCACCTCAGAGCCGACCTCACCCCAAGCCCCAAACCTCCATTCCACAGCCTCAACTAGACACCGCTCAGATTCCCACCCAAACATCTGGACTTCAGTGCTCAGCCTGGACCATACCCCAGAGTGCAAATTTGTCCTTCCATCAGGGCTTCACTGGCCTCCTCTGTGGGACCCACTCCTCTATCCCTTCCCTCCCTCCCTCTGTGTTGGAGATCTCCAAGCCTTACCTCTGCTTTGCGGTGAGGAGGGGCAGGCTCAGAGAGCAGAGCTAGTGTCCCTGGGACCCCCTTGCATCCCATGTTCTCAGGCATGGCATGGTGTGGGCTCACGTGGAAGGGCCTGAACGTGGAGTGTGCTGCCCTCAGGCGGTGCCCAGGGGTCTGAGGTGGTGGGGGGATGATGCGGTGGGCACTGGCTTTTGTAACTTATAAAGCCCCTCATCCCAGCTGCCTTGGTCTTGATGGGGGCGGCTAGGGCTTGAGATAGGGAAGAGTAGACTGCAATCTGGTGTCAGTCACCTGCGGTGGGATGTGTCCAGGCTGGGTGGGTCTAGAGTGTATGTGTTTGTGTGAGTGTTCCTCTGTGTGTGCAGCACGGGCTGGGTTGCATGTGTTGTGTGTGTCTTGTGTGTAATCTTGTGTGTTGTACCGTGTATGAATGTGTCATCAAGAGTGGGATTATTTGTGGGGAGATTATGGAAAATGTGGGAATTGTGGGTCTATGGCATTGTGTGCTATGTGTGGCTGGGGAGGCAGTGTTGTGGCTGTGGAGTGGTAACTGGGTGTGTGGCTGTTGTGTGTGTAGAGAACTTGTGTGTATGTGGCTGTATGTCTGTCATTGTACAGTGGAGTTGTTGTAGGGGCAGCTTGCATACAGGGCTCTATATGTAGTTGTGTATGTTACTGGCTGTTGTGTGTGGCCAGGAAGGGCCACTGCAGGGGCCTGATGGTTTCCGTTGGGTCTCTTGTCAGAGAGGAGTTGGAGCAGGGGGGTGCTGTGTGTGCCAGTGTGTTTGCAGCCTAGGTGGCTGGCTTAGAGTCACTATGGCACATCTTGGGATTGCTTGGGGAATATATCTATTAGGACCTGAGTGCTGGTGTTTGAGTGTCATGTGTCTGTGTGGTGGCTGCTCCTGCGATTCTGGACAGGAAAGGGTTGCAGGCAGGGCTGAGGGGTCTGAGGTGAGGAGCCAGTTGACAAGTGTGTGAGTGTGTGTGTGTGCATGCATGTACGTGTGCATATGGGAGTGGGGTGGGGTGGGAGGAGGCAGTGGGCCAGCAGGGCTGTCTATGCTAAGGGGCTGTGTGTGCCCACAAACGTGTGACATTAGGTGTGCACATTATCTATGCAGGCTGTGTCTGCATGTGTCTCTGTGTCTAGGTGGCGTGCGTGTTGAATTTAATTGGATGCATATGCCTGTGGTTGAGGAGGTGAGAGGTGTGTGAGGTGCGTGGTGGGAGACGGTGTGAGTGTGGTGTGAAGTGAGGGTGTGTGAGCTGTGTGACTTTTTGGTGTGACGTGTGGATTATGTGATCTTTTCTCCCCGTGAGTTGTGTGTGTGTGGTGAGGAGTGAGTGGGGGATGGACAGTGAGCTGGCGGTGTGTGTGTTGGGGGTGTTGAGGACTGTAGAATGTGCTGCGGTGGGAGTGTGTGCATGAGGTGTGTGTGAAGAATGAGGTCTATAACATTTGAGGCGTGTGGAATATAGCGGGTGTCCCCATAAATGTCTGTGTAGTGACGCATGTGTGCAGGAGGGCTTGGCTGCCATCCTGTCCTTGCTCCCCTCCTGATCAGGTCCCTAGAGATGCCCTGGAATGTTCTCCATGCCTCCCCAACCCCAACTGCCCCTACCCTTTGCCCTTCATCCTCCTTGCCTTGACCAAGTCCTTTGTTTTGGGTTTCCGGTGGAGCAGGCGCTGGACAGGCGGGCGGCAGGCGATGCCGCGGTCTGGGAACCTTTGTTCTTTTCCTCTTAGTTTAACTGGTGTTTGGGGCCCCGGTTTGGAGGAGGGTGTGGAGAGGATGCACGAGGCAGCAAGGTCACTGTGTTTACTACACCTCTTCGTCCTCCGCAGAAGGGAGGCATACGGTGCAGGCGGTGAGGCCTGGGTGGTGTCTTTGGTGGCGCCTCTTGGTATAAGAACAGCTTGGGCTGGGCTTGGAGTTTGCCAGCTCTGCAGTCTTAGTCCATGGTGGCCCAGCGCCCTTCCTGGCTTATGTCAGCGGGCTGAGCAGCTGAGCAGCCAAGCACCCGCTTCTCCAGGTTCACCTCCCCTCGCCCCTTCTCTGTGTGGCTGCAGCCCCTGGAGACAACCAGGAAGACCTCGATTTAGCTCTATTTGTGTTCACTGCAGGTCAGATGGAGGAGAAATAGTCCCCGTCCTCACAGAGACACTTATCTGAAAGGAGAGAGCTGGTCACACCTTTGGGGACCCTCTAGTCTGACGCAGTCTGTAGGGGATGCAGTCTGTAGGGGGATCGAGGTCATGCCTTCCAGAGAGAGCTGTGGGAAAACCCTACTGGGCCACCTCCCAGCAAGTGCTTGAGAGAAGAAACATCCAAGATTCCTTGAGATTGGAAGGCTCAGAGAAGTCTGAGTCAGTCAGGGAAGGGCCTGGGGTCGATGCCACAGTGTCACACTCCAGAAGGTTCTCTGAAATGAATAGGCTTGAGCTGGACCTTGAAGGGGGTGTTGGGGTGGGCAGAGAAATGCAGCCTGGGGCTAAGGAAGGTTGTAGCCTGACTGGCAAAAGGGATCTTGCTGACCATTCCCCAGGCAACACTGTCTGGCTTTGGGTAGCCATCCCTGGGCCTCCAGCCTTCTCAAGCTTTCATGGTACCTTTTTTATCCCATTGCCTCTGGCTGGAATTATCTTCATTGTCATTGACACTGTCATCTTCATCATCTTTTATGCAGTTCTTTCCAAATACTAAGGTCCTTTCACAAATGTCTCATTTAGCAGATTAACTCATGTGATTGTCTAAAAGTCTTTATGGAACACCTGCTGTGTACCAGACAGGCACAGTTTTAAGTGCCGGGGTCATGGTGGTGACCAAACTGGCCTCATGGAGCTCTTACCTTCTGTGTCCAGACATGCTGCCAGTCGCCCACCCTTCTGTGTTTCCCCAGTCTGGGGCGCCTGGTTCTGTGGGGCTCCGCATGTACACCCTCTGGTGCTGGGGTCTGGCTCCTACCAGAATGTGAGCTCTGCAGAGCCTGGGCCTGAGTCTCTCCTCTACCCACCATGTGTGTCCTGAGCTGGGTCTGGCAGAGTCCAGATGCTCACACATATCATCAGATGACCGGAACTGCCCTGTAGGGTTGGCAGCCCAGCTCCGTCTAGGGAAACTGGGGTCCAGCGGAAGAGGGGACTAAAGGCATCTCATCAGGCACTTCTTTTACCAGTAGCTCCAGAGACCAAGAGGGGTCAGGTGACTGGTGCAGGTCTCACAGCAGGGTGGCAGGGCTGGTGTCAGAGGACAGCACTTCTTGCTGCCAGGTTGGGCTCTGGCCCCAGCACCATGCTGCTCTCTGGCTGGCCTCCGTGCTGCCTGCGGCGGGTAAACGATTATTAATGACCCCCCTGGCAAGGAGACAGGAAATGTTTCCCAGCCACAGCTGGGGACCTGCTCCCTGCCAGCCCCAGCTATCCATACCCGCCCTGACCATGGCGTCAGTGCTGATGTTATCTTCGTTCTGCCTGAGTCTTCTTTGCTCCTTCTGCCCATCCCCTCACCTTCCTGATCTTCACATCCTAAGGGTAAATGATGACACCCTAAGGGTAAATGATGAGAAGATACAGAGCTTTCTTTTCCATATCCCTGTCCCTCACCACTTTCTCCAACCTGACTCATCTCTACCTTCTTCCTTTTCCCACGTCAGCCAGAAGTAGCTCTTCCTCCAGGAAGGCTTCTCTGAATGCACAGCCAGCTCCTCCAGTGGCCACTATCTTGGGCCCGAGGCACTGAGTCCCCCTCATTGCAGACTCTAGTCCTCCACTGATGATTTGCTCTGATGGTCTTAGGGCTGGCCTGGGAACTTCCTGAAGCCTGTCCCTAACTCCTGCCTTAGGACTGACATATGGAGGGTCCTCCCAGATGCCACCTCCAGGAAGTCTCCATTTTCACCCAGCCCAGGGATTCTTACCTCCTTTGAGCACCCTGTCCTTCCTGTCTGAGTTACACATGTGTACTTCCAGGACTTCCTAGGTGGACATTGGTGAACACCTGCTATGTGCCCAGCAGAGAGGGTGGGAAGAGATGAGCAGGATGCAGGCCTTAAAATCCCCACACATTCCCCCAAGCCTGAGCAATGTTGCATCAGCCCCATGGCAGGTGGCACAGACCTGGGTATAGGGCTGGGGGCGGGGAGGTGGGGAAGCAGGGAGTGATGTTGGTAGAGTGTGTGGAGAGGGCAACGAAGGAGATAAACTCAGGGGCCGTGGTAATATAAAGCAGGGACCCCTATTTCAGCCTAGAGTGGGAGGGAGGGGCACGTTGGGGAGCTTCCAGGAGGAAACAAATCTAGACTGAGAGCTAAGGGTCAAGCCAGGAGAAAGTTCTGGACAGAGGGGAGAGAATGGTTATTGTGAAGGTTTGTTGGTGGCAGACAGGGAGGAGAGCCTGTGACAGCACCGCTCCATGGAGCAGGCCCCTGGGTGCCAGGCGTCTGGGTCCAGGGTATGGGAGCGGTGAAGCTGGCCCAGCAAGATGGTGCAGGACTTGTAAGCCATGTTAAGGACTGCGGACTTGTTCTGGAGGGAAATTGACCCTTGGGAAGAGTTGAGGGAAGAGATATGACAGATCAGATCTGCATGCTCGGGAGCTTCCTGGACCATGGTGTGGAGACTGAGGGGGAGGCTGGTGTGGCCCAGGTAAAGGGGGTGATGAGGCCTGGACAGGGAAATGGCTAAAGAATGCAGGGGAGGGAATGGAGTGGCCAGGGCTGGTGGAGGGAGCCAGCCAGCTGTAGACATGAAGGTCAAGGGAGGAGAATGCTGCCTCACCCAGGTATCTGGGTGGGTTTTGTGCAGTCTCTGAGAGGTATAGGAGGGAAGACAGGGGTTAGTGGCAGATGCCTGGGCCTGTGTCAGGGCTCTTTAAAGACCAAAAGGTCTTGGAAAAGCCTCGGAGGAGGTCATGAGCTTTGAGGTTAAAGGGAGACCTGAAGCCCACTCAGGGCTGCTATAGCGTCACCTGTAACATGGGGAACTCGGGATCTGCCCTGGGCAGAGTGTTCAGAATTCAATAATCGAAACAATCTGTGAAATATAATACTTAATAAAATTCAAATCCAAAAATGTCTGAGTACATTCCAAAATGAGTAAAAATGTAAATTTATGAAAATGCTAAACATACGTGATTGTTCTAATGTAAATTGTAAGCCTCAGCTGCTTCCCAAAACTTTGGATCAGGCTCCCTTGAAGCTGCTGCCTCTGATGTGGCTACCCCCTGTGGCTTCAGGACCTTCCTGTTCAGCTCCCTTGAGAGGAGCCGGCAGGGCCCCTCCTCTGCAGAGCCTGTACTCTGGCTGGTGGCTTCAGGGGGCAGGCATTCTGCCTTTCCTGTCCCCCACCCTAAGGGAGTTGGCCTTGCATGCCTCCCATCCATGGTTGCCTCTACTGGGGGCTGCCACTGGGAGACAGGAAGGGCATGGGAGTTGCAGGAGCTCAGGGTAAGAGGGGCCGAGAGCTCGTGGTATGGAGCGGGAGCGGGAAGGTAGGGTGGCCAGAAGAATGGAGAGGGCCGGGAGTAAGAGCAAAGGGAGACAGGCAGAGCTGAAGAGCGGTATCGCCCCAACATCAATACTGGTATTTCAGAATAGAAAAGCTGTGCCATTTCCTGAAACATCATAATGTTGAAGTCCAATCTTGCAGTCTCTGAGCTGGGCATTCCTTGGCCCCCACTCTCCAGTATTCTTGCATGAGACCATTTTTCTGGGCTGCATTTTCTCACTTGTAAAAGGAGGAAGTTGGGGGTCAATATCTCCCAGCGATATATGAGCTCTAGCTCTAGAAGTGTAGGATTTTGAGAATCTGGAATTGTCAGTCTGTGGGGTTCTAACTGGGACAATTCTAGCATTCCTTGACTCTCAGCTCCCAGCCAGGGCTGTGTGGATGCGTGGTTGTGTGATTCCGACATTCTGAGACTTTAAGATGCTGAGGCTCTAGGAGCTAGAGATACAGACATTCTGTGAATCTAGGATTCTAGGATTTGATGGTTTGATGATTCAATGGTTCTAAATGGGGCTGCTGGGAAGAGCTGCAACCACCTGCCTTGTTAATGTCAATGTTCAGTTATTAAAAACATAACAAGAAGCAATGGAGACAGATAGCTCAGAATGGTGGGCGCTCCCTCCACTCCCAGTGAGGGAGGACAGGAGAAGCTGGGCTGGCCTTAGAGGAGAATAGAGACCTTTACAACCTGGATCACACAGGCTGTTTCTCCTGTCACAAGAGAACTGGTGTGTGTACATTCGAG